GCCTTTGAAAGGGACAAGATATAAGGACCTTCGGTGAGGTTAAGAGCCACTGCCTCCCCTGGGGGGCCATTGGTGCACCCAACGTAACATGCTGAGGCTCCTGCTCAGAGGCCAACTTGAACCTGATTGGGCTTCATCTATGGGGGTGGGGGGCTGTTTGTGGGGAGAAAGCCCCACTCCAGCCCCAGACCTTCGGGTTTTGAATAGGCGCTCTTCAGTCTGGCTTCAGTATTGAGCCTCAATACCAGGCGTCCTTAAACTGCGGGCCCGTGGGCCACAAGTGGCCCGCCAAGAACATTTATCCAGCCCGCTGGGTGTTTTTGGCCCGTTTTGTTTTTTACTTCAAAATATATACAGTGTGCATGGGAATTTGTTCATAGTTTTTTTTTAACTATAGTCCAGCCTTCCAACGGGTCTGAGGGACAGTGAACTGGTTGGCCCCCAGTTTAAAAAGTTTGAGGACCCCTGCTCAAGACACTCTATTCCATCCTCTGTGGACACAAAAGCTGCTCCATTGAGCAATGGCCTGTATAGATGTCCACCCCCCTTGCCAGCCTCAAGCCAAGCAACTGGACAGGGCAGCCAAACAAGGCTCACCCTGTGGTCGCCTGCCAAAGGGCCCACCAGCCCCGCCCTCCTTGCTGGCAGCCTCAGGGCTAGGAGCACCCTCCCAGCAAAGGTGGTCAGGCCGCCATGGGTGACCTGTCCAAGAACAAGCCTTGGTCTTAGTCGGCCATCCTCCATTCCCTGTGTACATCCTTCCAGTCTTCTGACACCTGTTTGACCAGTGGTTAGTTACACTGTATATGCAATTGTTTGACGTTCGTTTTCAGTGATTAGTGTGCATGCTCAGAGGCTCCCCTGCCCTTGCACACAGCCAGACCAAGCTTCTCTGAGCCACAGCCTGACAGCTGAACCACCGATGTCACCAGAAGCTGCCCTCAGATTGCCTGGATCTCCACAGGCAGCTCTGCTCTGCCAAGGCGGTGCAGTACCTCAGCCCACCTGGTGCTCCCTCTCCTTGTGTCTTGGGAAGAAGCTGTTGTGCTGTTTCAGGCTGACCCTTGACCCCTCTCACACACACCCATCAGCTCATTTCTTGCCTGGGGTGATGTGGCCCAAGCATAAACCCCAAACAGTGCCATCCATAGAGCATGCTGCCTGTGCATATGGCTTGTGGCTTCCAGATTGTCGCTCCTAACCATCAAGACCTGGCACCCTCACACCACCGAAGAGGCATCTATCGATATGGGAACTTTATTACAAAATTATAAAGCAGAGTTCTGTTAAAACAAAAAAATACATATTTGGGTTTGCTTTGACACCCAAGTTTTCAGTCTGAAAATCTCTATAAGCCACTTGTAGTAACATATTCACATCCAAAAAATTGCAATAAATTTATACATTTGAGCACTGATTCTGTACAGCTTAATAGTTTGGATCCAATGTATTCTGTATTATTCTAATGTACTTACTACACATCAAGCATTTACCCCAAGTCTTCGAAGGCGAGCCTCAGCTGAAGTCTCAGAACAACCAGTCAAAACCAAGGAAGGGATAATTGCACAAATTAGGTGTTTCTGTGCTAATTAAGACCAACCATCCATGAGGGAGGGGACAGAGACAGGATTCAGGGAGAGAAATTAAGTTTTCTACCTAGGTTAGATATTCGTTGGAATGGGATCTTAGAACCCCCTTTTATTTGATGTGATAAAGAAGGTACATTTTAGAACAGAATGGTGGGCTTGAATCTTGTTTCCTAAGTGGGAACTCACCAAACGAGGTAACCAGCGTTGAAGGGCAAGTTCTTTCTCCCAGAGGAATGACATTCTTTCCAAGGCTACTAACTAGTTGCTGGTTAGTTGGTTCTCCGTTCCCATCTAGTAGAGGATTGGGGGCGTAGGAGGGGGAGACAGAAGGGGGGCAAGGCCTCATTCTAGAAAGCAAGTTCGGAACAGGCAGAGTCTGCTTCTGCCCTAAGTTATTGCTAAATACCAGCCGAGGTGCGTATGTACAGACCTGTTTCACAGTGGGTTCGCACAGTAGCTCAATGAATGGTCTTGCTAAACTGGTCAGCATTGTAAACTGTAAGACTCACTGTCCAGCCAAGAGGTGATTTTTCCAAATCATCCAGGACTTCATCTGATGGCGAGGTAACAATTACTTTATAAAAAGTACTCTAGACCCCGCAAGGCGATCAGTGGCTGATAGAAAAAAGCATGTGTGTACTGGGTACCCATAGTAGGGCTTTCCACCTTCCAAAACGGGTTGGCTCTCAACTGGGAAAGGATCTTGGAGGCACAGTGGGTCGGCCACAGCTGTGTGGTCCACTCACTGCTAATGGGAGGACAGCTCTGCTTGACAGTGCGTTTTGTGCTTAGCAAAGCTTCTCCAGTAGACTTCCCTTAAGCTCTGATCCAACAGTGGTGTCATGACCACTAGTGGGCTCAGAACTTCTTCTAGTCATTAACTGGGTCTTCCTCAAGAATTAGAGATTGCCTTCCCCTGACCGGTCCCCACACAAGAAAACCAGAGCAGAGACTTCCCACCAAGCAGGGAACGGAGGCCAGCACACCCAGCCTCCCTCAGGACCTTCAGGCACTTGGTGCACTGTCCAGGAACGTCGTGAAGTCAGACGTTCCTGAAGAGCAGGTGGAGTAAGTCGCTCCCCATCCCTTCACGTTGAAGCCAGATAGACCAAGCTTAGAAAGGCCCCAGGAAAGAGTTGCTATGATTCGAGAAAGGACGTCAGGAGTCAAAGTTAAGCGGTAAGCCATCCTTTCCTCCTCTGAAGCAGCAGGTCAGAAGGGGGGTGGGTTGGGCTGTAAGAGAGGAAGAACACAGCTGGAAGGCGCACAGCAGCACCCTCAAACCGCAGGAATACCCTAGCAGCTTCGTTGTTCCCAGGAGGCAGCAGCAACCAGTCGCATGTACGCAACCCTAAGCAAGGCTGACTTCTCAACAGCTTCTGTGCTTCATTTCTCACCAGTTTTTTTTTAAAAAGCAAACCAAAAATAAACATTGCCATCAAGTAGAATCCAGCTCAGTCACCCTTCAGAAGACAGAGTGGAGCTGCCTCTGTGGGTTCCCCAGGCTGTAAGTCACAGAAGCAGACTGCCATGCCCTGTCTGTCTCTCTTGAAGCAGCTGGCGGCTCTGTACTGCACCACCAGGCCCCTGAAGTCTTAACAACTTGGAAAAATTTCAATAGCACTTGTGTTTCATGTCTCACCAGTGATCATGTTTACTGGTGCAAGTCTCCAGATAGAAGACCACTCTTGGTCTGGTCAGCCAACATCTTTTTGGTCTGGATTTCAGGCAATAGAACCACAGACCTTAGCAAAGTTGGATTAAAGCAAAGCAAGCCAGGGGTACATAAACCAGCCCAAGTGTGATGGGTGGAATACCGAGACCTACGCCTCCAGAGGGCCAGTGGGCAGCGGCGGGGAGCAGAGGGGGAACTGCTCCTCGAGAAGGTGTCTAGGTTCTCAGAGGAAGGGAGATGACAGAGTCTGAGTTCTGGAAAAATCTCTGTTCATCAGTTACCACAGTCATCCCAAGATCAAGGAAACAAGGACTTATAACCATGTCCACTGTACCAGTCCTACAGGGCTCTCAGTGCCCTGTCTGCCAAGAAGTATGAGGGTGGCAGGCTGGCGTGCCTGGGCATCTTCGCTGGGCCTGGTCTCAGGGACACTGTACGCTTTCTTCCGGGAGCACGCCTCTCTGCCAGCTGGCCAGCCCTGGGGCCAGACGCCCTGGCTGTGTCCTGGTAAGGCACTGAAGAAATGGTGCAAGCCCTCAGGACCGGAAGACATGCACAGCGCGGATGACGTACTGCCGGCAGATGGGACACTCACTCATGCGCTTGCCACACTTGGTGCAGGTCACCATGTGGCCACACTCGAGCAGAACACAGTCAATGGGAGAGTCCATGCAGATCTTACACAGGTTCTCCTCCAGGCTGGGCGGTGCGGCTCCTCCTGAACACACACAGGGCGGAAGTCAGAAGGTCATCTAAAGTTGTGGGGGATGGGAGAAGTCACCCCAAATCCACACACTTTCCTCAAGTAGGTACCTCAAGAAGACAACCCTCAGTAACACACTACAGGTATGTGACAACACAGTCTCCCGGCGGCCTGAGGGTCGACCAGCACTGTGGCAATGCCCTCCCAACCTACACCCTCTTCTTATCACAGGGGCCAGGGCGGTGAGGGGCACGTGGGGACTCATGACCCCGAGGCAGGGCACACTTAAAAGGTCCAGTGGTTTAGAAAACTAACGATCTACAGTTCTGGTGGCAAACCTGGCTGTCTCGGAGATTTCCTAGTGGGGGGGCCCTGCAGAGCACTACGCCCTTCTCCGTGCTCCCCGCAGAGCGGGCTCCATGCTTATCGCCCGGGATGCAATCTGGAGCGGACTACTTAGCTCCCTCACTCAACAACTCCAACCAATCTCCACAATAACAGACTGCATTTGCTGTATGCTCTGTGGTCACACCCCTAACCCTCCAATCACCTGACAGCCGCTCCCTAAACAGCTCATAAATGCTTCTCTACCTGGGGTATGTAACTGAATTGCTTACTATGTGCCAGTCAGGGTCTGAGGAGCGTGGCACTCATGAGCTAATTAATTGAGTTCCCGCCCAAGCCATGACCGTTGGTGCGGCTACTTGTATGTGTAAATCAGGCATGGGAGGGCAGCGTGAGGTGGCTTGCCCAATGGCCCGTAGCTGGTAAGTAGAGGAGCCAAGATTCAAACCCAGTCGGTACCCTGAGTAGAGACTTATCAGCTGGCATTAACTGTCCAGGGCCTGGAGCACATAATGCGTGCTCACCAGCTGATGGGGTCCATGTCAATCCGTGAGCAGGAGAACCTGCCTGCCTGGCCCGGCCACCATGTCCACCCAGCCATTACTGTGAGGCAATATGCAACGCTGGCTCCTTAGTGGGCAGCAGCCTTGCCCCCAGGCCTCCCCTAGGCCCTGTTGCTCTTCCTCGAGAGGAAGGGGACAGAGACTTTCCAAAGGCCCTGGTTCTAGCCAACCCCCTACACCACATCACACACACACTCCCCGCTGTGGCTCCCACACACTCAAGATTCATAGCCGTGGAAAGAGCAGCTCAGAAAGCCCAGGCCCATTGTCGAGCCCAGCTACATACCGTTTTGGTCCTCAGCACCACCCACTGTAAAGGAAAGGAAAAGACGCTGCTCACTGAAAGCGCTCTGACAGGGCCAGTGCCTGGCTGACTGCTCCCTGCTGGGGCCGGTCTGCCCAGAGCCCACCCGGGCGCTGGCCCTCCCCACTCGCCCGCACACAGCTCCTGCTGCTGCCTCTGCTCCTCCACTGGTTGGCAGGAAGGCTACTGCACGCACACACCACCCGCCCTCTGTGCTCTTCCAGTCCGCAGGAAAGACAGAGGTGCCGCCGCCATCGGGCTGTTTCCGCCAGCCAGGGAGTGCAGTGGGCACAGGGACTCCCTGCTCCTTGCAACCCTGCGACTGCTGGGACAGTCTCAAAGGGCTGCCAGTGTCTCCGGCTCAGTGGGTCTGTGATCGGGAAGGGAGCCAGACTTCCCGAGTGCTGATGAGCTGAGCCTCCCACGGAAGCCGGACAGCTGATCGAGGGTTGCACCAGCTGGTAGGCGAGGGTTCTGTGAGGAAATGATTCTGGGAACTGCCGAGCTCAAAACACTGACCACCTTTCTCTCTTGCTGTCTCGGCCTTTAATATAAGACTCTCTTCTGCCAGGTCGTAACCAGGGAGAAACAGCACATGCATTTCCCCCCAAAAGCTCTTGATCACAGAGCCAGGTAACTTTTATGGGGCATCTCCTGAAAATGGCGCCAGGCAGGTCCAACTCCTCGGCACTTTCTTGTCCTCACCTTCAGTTTCCGGTCTCCCCACTGAGTGATTAGAAGTGGGAGTGACCATGGGGGGCAGGAGGCAGGTTAGGGATGGCTAGGGGCTGTGAAGCCAGGGAGGCTCCCCACTAATGGGGCATCTAATAATAATGATTTCTAGGCTGCTCTGAGCGAGTAGGTGGCCCGGACACTCAAACCACAAATAGCAGCCAGTCTTAGATGGCTTTGGAGTGCCAGGTGACCGACTCCCTCCTCGGACACGGGGGTGGGAACTGAGCCAGATCAGTGGCGTCATGCTCAGAGTGGCAACAAGCCCCTGCGCGTTCTTACCCAGGTGCTGCAGCCCTCTCTGGTCCTTGTACAGCCAAGTCACCCTCTCCATCAGCTCCCACTTCTCACAGCAGCCCTTGTAGTTGACAAAGTTGCGAGCCAGGATCTCTTTCAGCTGCCGCACGGTCAGCGCCTCGATGTCCTCCAGAGTGGTCAGGTCGGACAGAGAGGCCCTGCGGCCGGGGACGAAGCTGTCCTCGGAGTCGATGGACTGCCATGGTAAGGAGGAGAGCAGTGGGCTCAGGGCATGCCTTCCCAAGTTTCCCTGGGGAGGGCCCTGAGCCCTGCCACAGTGCCCCCAGAAGGGCAGTGAGGGCAGGCACAGCCCTCGGCCCGGTGCTTGCCTGGCAAATAAAGCAATCTTTTCTGGACCTACAGTGCTGGGCCACACGCCAACCACCCCACAGTGCCGAAGCGCACTGGTTAGAGTGGGCAGTGGTGGGGCCTGCTGGGGAAGCCAGGGTCCCCCACTAATAAGGCTAATTCGTGGCAAGTCGCTGACCTCTGTGAAGGAAGAACTGAGTCCCATCCTCTGTAAGGGAGGTCCTGGACAGCCACACCCTTCCCCTCGTGCCCCTGGAAAGTCCTGCTCTCCACACCCAACCTGGCTGTGACCTGAGCACCCTCTCACCTTTTCTCCGGGGTCCCCCCTGGCCCCTGGCCCTGAGGCTGGCTCTGGGTGCTAGGAAAGGAGGAAGTGTGCACAGCGGCGGTGTCCACCCTCTGGCAGCTCTCAGAGCCAGGAGATGGAGCACAGAGGCCCACGGGTCTCCACGAGCCCATTAACACGCTCACAGCCCAGCCGTGAGCTAAGGGCCACCCTGAGGAGGGATCTCAGAGGGGCTGCCGCCACTCTCTTCCTCTCAGCCAGCCAGCAGCCTCCTTCCCACACACCAAGAACCGGGAGGCAGAGCGCTGCGCCTCGCCAAGGTCCCACCTGGGTCTCCTCCTCGGCCGATGCTCTGGCCCTGTTCTCCCGGCACACGGGATCCTCTTGGTCCTGAGGCACTTGGCCATTGGCCTGTGGAGAGAAAGGCACCGTCAGGTGCACAGACTGGGAGTCTTCAAGGCCTGGGGCGGGCCTAACTCACCCGCAGCCCAGCTGTAGGCCCAGCGCCTCCAAGAGAGCACCGCAGAAACATGCTCTGCAGAACCGGCTCTGGGGAACAGCCAGCAGAGTGGACACAAGCTGCCCTCTAGAACAAAAGTGACCAGCTGCCACCCTGTCGATCTAGTCTCAGCTTGAGGGCTCCCGATGAAACAAGCTCCAGTCCACGTAGAACCACTGATAACCATTGCTTTTCTTGTTGACTCTGACCCCAAACTGTCCTCCCTCTAATTTCCACCACCCGCCCTGGTTCTGCCTCTCTGAGCAATGGCTACAATGTTGTTCCACACTACCTACCCCTCCATACTCAATCTCCCAGCTGCCTCCACTGCATCTCCTGGCCAGTGCTTCCAGACCCTCGCCCTCTGGTCCCTTTTTCCAGGCCTGTCACTGCTCTCATGCTCTACCAGCAGATAGGCCGTGCTTACAAAGTGCTGTCTGGCCACCAAGTGATTTGAATACAGCCAAGAGTCAATTTGCCTAACTTGGTGAGACAACACGAACTCTGCATAGAATTCTAACTTCTCCAAAAGGTCTTCCTGGGGGTTCTTTTAAGAGAGCGGTTCTTAACCTGTAGGTTGTGACCCCTTTAAGGGTCAAATTACCCTTTCACAGGGGTGGCCCGATTCACAACAGTAGCAAAATTACAGTTATGAAGTAGCAACAAAAATAATTTAATGGTTGGGGGTCACCACAACAGGAGGAGTTATATTAAAGGGTCACGGCATTAGAAAGGTTGAGAACCACTGTTTTGGGAGGGTTGACAGAGGAATCAGAAGTGTGAGCACCCCCAACCCCATCACATCTGAGCCACAAACTCCTTGCCCTTTCCAGCCATTGCTGCCTTCTCCCGGCAAAAGGACAAGGAGGTGTCTGCGATAGTGGGCCTTTTCTACCAGACCACAGAGCATACCGGGCAAGGGATGGCCAAGGTCACCCACTGGCCCCACCCCCCACCTTCTGGAATCAGTGACCAGAGTGGGTAAGAGCGGGCGCTGACACTCCCCACACCACCCCCCACCTTCTGGAATCAGTGACCAGAGTGGGTAAGAGGAGGTTAACAGTTACAGTGGGAGTCGAACCCAGAAATAAGTAAATAATGGCATGTGCTGATGAGAATTCACATGTTCAGAAAGCATACATGTGGGACGTGTCTCAAACAAGCCTGGACAAACACCTCTAGCTTGCTCTCATTGCACTTGGATGTGGCACCCACTGGGCCTTTTGAATGATGTCACCTTGGAGTTCTGAAAGGCCTAACCTGTTCCTAAACAGCTTGTGCATGTCCTTTCTTCCCTCTAGAAAAAGACACTGGTCCCCTGCTGGCAAAGCATGCTCTCATCTTTCCAGTTTGCCCACTGGCTGAATCTGGCCCCAGCATTGCTCCTCGACACTTTCTCCCAACAAACTCTCTTGGGCAGTAGAGAACAGAGAGGAGCAGGGCCAGGAGACCTCCATTCTAGTGCAGCTTGCTGTGGACTGGTGGCCTCACCAGTCACTTAGCTTCCTCATGCCTGCTTTTCCTGCGTGAAAAATGCAGATGTCACCAGAGCACAGCGTGTGAGCTGGCCTCTCAAAAGGTCTCAGCGAACCTCCAGGGGAGAGTCCTGGCTAAGATCTGCTCTCTGGCATGGCCTGTGTGTGCACTCTGGAACTTTCTGGATAATGGCCTCCACTGAAAACCCCACTTGATGCTTTGTTAGAGGAAAACACAAAAACATTTCCTCCTTAAGTTCCTCTCCTGGCTCCAGGAACCACGGCAAGGAAGGTGGTCTTGGGGAGAGAGAAAGCCTGCCCAGCAGGCAGCGAAACTCTCAGTGATGGCGGAAACAAGCTCCACAACACAGGGGTGAATTGAGAGCACCCAGCTTCTGCATCATGCCACCGCTGCATGAGAGAGCTGCAGCAGGCTCCATCCATCCAGGCAGACGGACGAGGCAGATCCTGAGCAAGAGGTAGCAGCCACTCAGGTCACGTGTGGGAACAGTCCCACCTTGGAGAGCCAGCCCTCGGGGGTGACCCCGGAAACCAATTCTAGATCCTGGATGCCTCACGACTGCCCAAGGCATACACATGAGAGCCAGCTGTAAAGGGCTGGCGCACAGCCACACAATCTCTACTCCTTCCCAAAAGGCCACTGGCCTCACTGCAACCGAACAGCTGGTTTGTACAACCATCGCCCCTCTCAGAAGGGGGCTTTTTCAGGGCACTGACCTGTTGCAGGCTTCTGTAGTCGCCACGCCTGCTTCAAAATGCTGTTAATGCAATCGCAGCTTACCACGGCCGGGCCCACTGGTGTAATGGCAAAGCAGCTTCCAATAGACTAGCCTGCCCACCATGCATCTCACCTCTGCAGAACGCCCAGATATGATCGTGCTGTCCAAAAAACACCACTTCTCACGTTGGCAGGCATCAAGGCCCAGAGACCCTTCAGCTCGTGCCCACACCCAGGGAGAGGGGCAGGAGCTGAGGGACACAGACTGGCTGGCTGTACATGGCCCCTACCTGCTGGCTTTCCTGAGCCGGGGCTGCGGAAGCAGAGGGGGCGGGTGAGGTAGGAGGCGCTGTGCTGGTGTGAGGCTGCGTCAGGAAGGCCTGCTGCTCTGGGAGGTCCGGCGACAAGGTGGGAGCCCGAGTCCTGCCCTCCTGGGAGATGACCGGCTGCTGGCCAAGCACCAAGAACACCAGCTCCTCCTTCTCCCGGCACATCTCGGTGGAGACGTCATGGAGGCTGAGGTAGTCCCGCAGGTCCTTCACCTTCATCTTCATGAGCTCTTCCCGCTGAAAGGCCGTGGCTCGGAACCGCTGACAGAGCAGGCACAGGTGGGGCCCGGTCCCCTCTTGGCTCGAACAGCTTGTACAGAAATGCTTCTTACAGTCCAAGCAGGTCTGCTGCTTGGGGCAAGAAGAGGGGCACGTCAGGTGGAGAGGAGGAGACGGGAGTGGGATAGAGCTTTGGGGCTGCCTCTCCTAGAACAGCCTCTTCCACCACTAAGGTGACAAGCAACTTTTCAGACTGTAGGTTAAAACCACTCAGAGGTGGCATGTCACCTGTACACATACATCTGTGTATCCACATACACGTAGGAGTGCATGCGAGTCTTCCTGTCTGATGACAAAGCATGCGATTACTTAAATCTACTAGGTTTAGAATGAGTCGCCCCTCCTTTCAGAATCACCTCAGGCATGTAACTTAGCCTCTCTGACCCTCCGTTTCCTCATATGTTAATGGAGATCGCAAACCCATCTCCTAAGAAAGAACCCATTTAGCCTGTCTGACATCTGAATGTGTCTGTAACTAAATGCAACTGCTTTCAAAGTCTTTGCCAAGACATAGTAGCGAATGATGAGAATCAGGATTGCAATTCTGCTTTCTGATCCCAAACTATAATTCTTTCTGCTTGATGGTAGCTGTTGTTACCACCACCACCACCACCACCACCACCACCACCATTACTAGTTAAATTTAACTCAGAGAAAAGCCAGTGGTCTGTCGGCCTGTTCATTGAAAATGATCAGCGGCTGGAGAGTCCCTGGAGCACAGCATAGTTGCACTGAGCACACACAGCACTGCCACGCGTGCGGTGAGCTCAGCAACAGGGTGTCCCGGAGGCCGACAAGTAAGCACTTGGCCATCACAAAAAGCTGGACGTTCAAATCCACCCAGAGATTTCTCGAAAGACAGGCCTGGCGATCCTACAGCAAAACAGGGGCAGCCACCACAACCTCAGCCCTAGGAAGCACATGAGGCCACTCTGAACCAGATGGGGCCACCGCGCAGGGGACGGATGGGAACTGACTTTGTAAAGGCACACCTGGCTGGTCCCTGGATTCTCCCGGCAAGCCGGCACAGGAGTTCTGCAGTGCCTGTTTCACAAAGCCACCGAGGCTTAGAGACTTTGTAAGCAGTGGAGGCTGGGACCCAACCGAAGGCTGAGCCTAATGCCTATAATCAGACTCCTCCCACCAGCTGCACCGCCGCCCAGTCTCCCTCAGCCTCCAGCAGTGCTGAGTCACAGTCTGGCTTTCCATCTCGAAAAGCCCCATCCAGAGCCGCAGCAGCGGAGACTGGTGCCCAGGCTGCCCCACCACAGGAGGCCCCCTTAAGGCGCGGAGAATTCAGTGGTGCGTAAGACCATAACCAAGACAAATATTTAGACAGCCAGTGAGGGCCCTCGGGACATCAGAGTGCTCTCGTTTATGGAAACACAGAGTGCCTCGGGGTGGCTGAATAACGCATCTGACACGCAAGCTGGCACCGCCTGGCAGCAGCTAGTCACACCACTGCAGCCATTGTGCACCCAGGCTTGTCCAGCCACAGGAAGCCTGGGGCCACCTGCCTAAGCTCTGTCCCCGTCCAAGTGGATCACACACTCATGAGAGGAGTCCCTGGGTGCCTGAGATCATCCTGGGACACAGGCACTAGTCCTCTACATAAATGTAAAGCTTTTCACCTCTGGTGACTGAAGAATAACCCAATGGGTCTGCTGTTTCCCCTTTCCTAGATCTGGAAAGCCGAAATGCTGTTCAGAGAGGCAAATTCTCACAGTCCAGATGGGAAGACAGCCTTGTGTGGGGTGAAATATGTGCTGCGTCCTTAAGAGTTACTGCATGTAGTTTTTGTTCAAGTGTCATTCGTGTGTCACCAAGGGAGAGGAGCAGAGCTTTTGCCGATTCAGCTGTGGAAGGCTCAGTGATGCACACACACCAAGCCTCCAGAGCTGAAGACAGGTAACAGCGAAGGGCGTGTGCCGGCACTCCCAGCCTAAGGATCTAGGACCAGTGGCCACTCAGGTAGAAAATAAATGTCTGGGGTGCTTCAGTCCTATCGAGGGCTGCTCTGCCAGGAAACGGAGAGCGTCCAGTGTGGATGGCAGGGACATGAAGGTGCCTCGGTGCCATAAAGCCTGGAGGATACTCAGGTCAGTGCAGTTTGAACGGACAGGCTAGACACAGTCATGAAGCCCGAGTGCTCACCAGCCAGGTCCAAACAAACAAATCTCAGGTCACACTAGTTTGCAATTCTAGAACAAAAGGACCAATGTGGGCAGAATGAGCAAGGAAAAACACATCCATATAAATGTTCACAAGTGGTTCAAACCAACCACATAACAAGACAGGATGAACAATGAATTTGTGGCAGCATGTGCCGGCAGAAATGTCAGGAGTATGCTCAAGCTGGCAGCTCCAGCAGCTACCTGGGCCCCGCCGCCTGCCCACCAGACATGCCGAGAAGTTACTTTGCTTGTCCTGCCTCCTTACCTACCAGCCTGCCCTTTCCTGATCCACCCAACCCAGGTCCCTAGGCCGCTTCTCACAGGCCAGCCCACAGGGAGGGAGAATTAGAGGTGTGTCCTGGCTGACCAGTTTCTGACTAAGGGGACTGGTTCATCAGACAGGTTAGGCCACCTCAAAGGACTACTGCAGGTAGTACCTGGGATAGTATGTTAAGACCATAGCACAAGGTGGGCACTCAAGCAATATCATGTATCATCTTTACTCCCCCTTCCCCTTCCTTCATCTTTGCACTCTCGCCAGTACCTACAGCCCACCCCCTCTGTCCACTGAGATCTCTCTCCTCTGCTTTTCCAAGCACAAGCTCCTCCTCTCACACTGGGCTACAAACCCTCCACAGCCACCATGCACACAGAGGAGGACCCTTGGACTTGGGGCAAAACCACAGGCTGCCCTCTCCCCGCAAGACTGGGGACTCTAGCGAGCGGGGCAGGAGATGGCTCCTATTTCTGTTTCTCTATAAAGTCCTCTGTGCTTTGTACCCAACAAGTATATGCAAAATACTGGCCCCAAACTGTGTGTGTGTGTGTGTGTGTGTGTGTGAGAGAGAGAGAGAGAGAGAGAGAGCGCAGTCTGCTTCATGTAATCATTTCAATTCAGCCACTTCAAGAAAAGACATTTTAAATGCCTCTGGCTGTTAAATGCCAAACCCTTAAGATAAGAACATTGTTCCACTTAAGCATGAAATTACAAATGAAAAATTTCCACACAGGAGAATACATCCTTAATATTCACAAAACTCATACTTCTTTGGCAAGAAAACATTGTGCCAATAACGGTCTTTTAACTGCCCAAATTGTGGCTCCGTGTGCTGCTGTAGCTGTTTTGGAGGGTCTCATTGTGTAGTTCTGTATTCCCCCGTCTTCCTGCCTGACTGTGAGCTCCCTGATAGGCGGGAGTGGGGCAGGGGTTCCTCTCTGCTGCCTGTTTCAGCCAATGCCTGACACATTTGAGATGCACTCACTCTTGCTCCCCCCTTCCATCAGCACCATGCTCCTACGCACACAGGCCTACTGGCCTGTCAGCTCCCACTCGACCTTCTCCTCTGAAACGTAACCCATCTTCCTTTGGGAGGAAATGGGCTATTTTGGAAAAGGTGCAAGCTACGAACCAAATGGGACAGGAACAAATTCTGCTCTGCTACTTACCAGCTCAGTGGCCATGGGTCTCAGACATTTTTTCATCTATAAGGAGGGGTGTTAACTACTGTTTCCCATGGCCCCGCACACAAGACTTGCTCACTAGGTGGGAGCTACATCCATCAGCCCCTTCACCACCAGCTGGGAAAGTCTCTGAGAATTTCTCACCAAGCATGTAAGAGCCTGCTAACTGGTAGCCCACACACTCTATCCAACCACCCTAATGAAGCCGGGTGAGCTACGGAAACAGGAACAGGCCTGTCCTTCCATCTGATTGTTTGCTGGCTCCAGACCGCTTACTATGGCAGCCAAGGCTCTTTGCTACCTGGTCCTATCTTTCCTTCTTCCCTCGCTTCCCAAGTAGCCTGCACTCTGGCCAACCAGGCCACTGACAGTTCTCAAGTACACTTTACACTTGTCCCAAGCTGGGATCTATAGCCAATGCTTTACAAAATCAACTAAGCCATCCTCGACCCAGTTAGAATCCTGATCTTATGCCTCGCCATCAAGTTGACTCTGACTCGTGGCACCCTTGTAGGACAGGGGAGAACTAACTAACCCCTGTGGTTTCTGAGACTGTAACTCTATGGTCTGTGTCTATGTAGCCTCTACAGCCCCATCGAGAGAAGTTGCTAGCAGGCTGCTGGTATGGAATTGGGCCCTTGACATTTATATGCAGCACTGAATTGTCAGCCTTAAAGTAATGAAATTAGACTTTGGGGGCCTACTTCCTCCTTTTCAAAGTGCCCTCAACTTCATGTGTCTAGTCATTCACTTCTTTTGAAGAAACGTATTGCCTACTTACTATGTTTCAGGCACTGTTGTATGCACCAGGGACAAAGTTGTGAATGAAACTGACTTAATCCTTCTTCCTAGGTGCCAACCGGATGGACAGACAATCAGCATTGCGTTTACACAGGCTGTCATAGCTGTGTAAAGAAACACAAAACCCCTCCCTGCCCATCCCCACTTCTTTCTTTGGGGATGACTTCCTCATGCGTGCACAATCTCTCTGCTGGCCAAGAAATATCACGAACACTTGCAGCTCCCCCGAATTTCCTCATGCTTAGCATGCCGGTCCCCAAGCCCAGATCACCACCATCGATCACTCTCTTCTCTCCTCATCTCCACTCCAGAGTATGTGTAACTGGTGTTTAACAACCTAGGTTCAAAAAAACTAAGCTGCCTCATTTACACAAGGGCCTTTCCAAATCTTTTCTTGACAATTACTTTGCCACTTCTCCCAGCAGTTGTTCCCAGCTTTCCTCACAGTATAAAACAGTGACAACAGCAGGGTCTCGGGCTGCCCGACTGACTCTAGGTGCCTATGAGGAGTGCCTGAGCTGACTGGCGCTAGAGGGAGACACCAACATCTTGCTCTGTAAAATGGGAGTAAGTCTGCTAATTACACAATTTTATGTCAACCTGATAAAAGGAGTTATGTTAACTTTGATAAAAGATGGAGTCTGTGGGTGTGGCCTTCTAATGAAGATTCTGAAACTTCCGCTTTCTCTCTGGAGGTGGGCCACACTCTCTCTCTGCTACACATTTCGGTTGAAAAGCCACATGGAGCCACATGATGACAGCCAGAACCCTGAAGCCATGTGGAGACCCATGCCAACACTTAGACCCATGCCATCCACTGCCATTGGTTCCACAAGACTTTCTACCCACTGGCCTGTGATCTTCCTGCATTTGTCATCAATGCATGTGCTGTGTGAGTCTAAAGAGAAATTTATGGACTAGTATCGGTATTGGACATATGGGTTAATATGGACTTATGGACTTGATCTGGACTGGGCTGGGATGTTTTCTCTATATACAATTTGCTCTTTGATATAAAGCTCTCTCTTACACATGAGTGGCTCTGGATTTGTTTCTCTAGGCAACCCAAACTAACATATTGAAGTAACAGTCCACTCCACAGATTGTTCCAAAGATTCAAGGAGAAAATTCAGCCAAGGGCCAAACACAGTGCCTGCCATATAAGTGCCTGGTAACCTCACTTCCCTTGCACCTCAGACTCCACCCTCCTCCATCAATGAAGGCCAAGGCCACATGATATTGAGTTCTTCTTCCCTCCAATTCAGCCTCAATCAACCTTCAGACCTAATAAGAGGCATTTCTGCTCACCCCTGCTGTAGCTCTCTGCTCTCCTGAAAAGCACTCTCTGGCCGAGTTCTCACAGTGACTGGGGCAGTCAAGCAAATCACAACAAAGCTGGGCTGCCTGCCACCTTCACCGCACCACAGCACCCGGCAACATACCAATCCCTTTAAAGGGCACATGCTGAACTACATGTCAAGATGCAGACTTTCTGCTGGGGGGGGACAGGGACTTGGGAGGCAAAGACCTGGGTTTGAAACCCAGCTCTGCCACTGAATAACTAGATGAGCTTGGGGATACTACAAGGCATAAAGAGTGTTCCATTGCCTCTATGGAGCCCTGGTGGCATAGTGGCTATGCACTGGGCTGCTCATTGCAAGGCCAGCAGAGTTCGAAACCACCAGCCGCTCTGGGGGAGAAAGACCGGGTGTTCTATTCCTATAAAGAGTTAAGTCTCCGAACCCACAGGCAGAGTTCTACTGTGTCCTGTAAGGTCACTCTGAGTCAGAATCAACTCGATGACAGTGAGTCTGCCCTGGTGGAGCCTCCGGAAACAGACGAAATTGTCTGCTCCCCTACGATTTAGCCTCAGAAACCTGCTATTGGGTGGCGATAACAGGGAATCAATCGGCTCCATGACTGTGAGGGGGGGATACCATTAGTCGGGAACTCAAGGCGAATAATTTCTTCTCTAATATTAAACTCTCAGCCTTCATTTCGCAAATGTAAAATGTGAGTTTGGAGATTCTGCAAGCTACCATATAGGGTTATTGTGAAGATTGACAGAAACTAATTGCCCAGAAGAGTCCCTAGCATATAGTGGATGCTTAAGAGAGGTGTCCTCTCAGATGTCCCATCCCCACCATCTACTCACCCACTCGGGACTTATCCACGGCAGAGCTCACCCTCTGCCCATCTTGTGTGACCATTGAGCACAAGCTGTCAGGCACTGGTGGGAGCTGGCCCACGCCCACACCACATTACTCAGTCTATAATGTTATTTCCTAATGGCTAATCTAGGAAGCTGGCTACCCAGCAATTCAAATGAGATCAGCTACAGTTTAAAGTAAATAAGCTCTAATCTTTGTCTTGCTATGGTCCCGATGCCCTTCACATTGCCTTAGATAAAAAACATGGTAATTTGCTATTAGCTCTTTAATGGTAGCTAATGAAGGCCATTGACATGGCATGCCTGGCATCACGCTGGGCACCCTTCTTCATAGCTTAGCTTCTTTTACTCTCACAATAACACTGTGAGGTGGGTACTATTCTGTTTTATAGATAAGGAGACCATCTCAGAGAGCTTAAGTCACACACACAGGGCTGGTATGGTAAGTCTGGCCTTTAGGACCGCTAAATGATACTAAGAGGCTTAGCTTTAGCTAGTTTTCCATTTTCTGTAATAGTTCTGTGGGGTGGTTCAAGTCTGGGTTCCCAGCAGGCATTCATGGAGCAGTCAGTGGCTGATCTGAGGCCCTGAGGTGGGAGCAGCAGAGCAGGTGGGAATCTAACACTCACCTTCCGGGCTGTGTTGGCAAAGTGGGCTCCACAGCCCCTGCAGCTGGGTTCAGAGCCAGTCGGGGAAGGGAAGGAGCTGTATCCAGGGTTGGAATAGGCCTGTGCCCTGGCTCCCTGCGGTGCTGGCACCTCTTCAGGCTGTCCATCCAGGCAGAGCCAGTTGCAGCAGGTTGCCCACATTATAAAATCTGGTTCAAGGGAGGAAGGTGGAAAATGTTAGTGCCACGACACACTTCTGCGGCTGCTGCCAATCCCCAGGGTTCAGGTGGGCAGGGAGACACTGCTCACACCTGTGGCCAGAGCTGTGGTGAGGATGTGTTTGTGTGTCAGGGGCCGTAAGTGGCTTGCCACCTCTCAGCCCCCAACAGTGCATACAGGCACCTGATCTGCCAGAGCATGATGGGCTACCAAGTCGGTACAGTGCCTTAGGAAGGCTGCTGGTCTCTTGAGTGAGTTCACTCTGAGACCTAATTGCAAACAAACATGCACACTCTCACACCAACAGAGGGACCCACACCTCTGAGTCAATTCTGACTCATACACGGGGTTTCCAAGGAAGGTTATCTACATCTTTATGGGAGCAGACAGCCTTGGCATTCTCCTATGGAGCAAGGAGTCTGAACTGCTGACCTTGAAGTTAGCAGGCTGACTGCTTACCGGCAGTGACTCCTGGCACCCCTAGGCATGGGAAGGATGTATGATATGTCCTCTATGTAAACGAGACAGTCTAGCTCAGAGAAGGTCATATGGAGCGCTGAGATTCTAGAACGCCAGGTCTACCGGCACTCGATCTAATGTTCTTTTCCTGATCCCATGATGCCCTTGACTTTTCCTTCCACCCATCAGGCTAAATGACTCCTGTATTTGTATCCCAATCTTAGACAAGTGTAAGTCAAAAAGTATTGCTACCAAAAATGATAGAAACCTTTATAAAACAAAAATGTCTGTGGTAGTCACCTAATCTAGTGTCAATTCAAGGATTAAGAGTGTAGGGGTGGAGTCTAGGCTGTCAATCTGAAGATAGTCAATGAGACTTCTGTGGGCATGGCCTTCTCCTGACAATTCTGGGAAATCTGGGACTTCCTCCTTAGAGATGGAAGACACCTCTCTCGCTCTGTCACTCCCTGGGAGACACTGCAGAAGACAAGCTACATGGACGCAACCAGACCTCTGAAGCTGGAGAAGCCACAGAGAGACCCCTGCCAGCACTGAGATGCTTACAACACCACTGGACCCAAAGACTTTATACCCACTGGCTTGTGATGGTTCTGCATTTGGCTTCATTGCATGTGTTTCGTGAGTCTGAAGAGGACTTTATAGATTGGTATCAAGACATATGGGCTAATATCAGACTTATGGCCTTGGACTGGACTGGGTTGGGATGTTTTTTCAATGTTCAATTCCTCTTGTATATAAACCTCTCCCTTATAAACATAGGTGTGTCCATGGATTTGTTTCTCTAGTCTACCCAGACTAACACAATGTCCAAAGTGTGACATAATTGTTCCTCACCGTAGCTTCCACCTCGGCCTATCCACTTCTGGAAATGGTGTTTCCAGCTCTCTGACTCTCCCCTGAGCCTTCTGTGCTCTTTGAGCTACACGTCAAAACGGCAGTTGGGGGCATCCACAGGGGACTCAAACTGGGGCTCTTGAGTTTGGAGAATAGAAAGTCTGAAGGGGCTGGGAAGGGTTTCTCAACAAAAGTCTTGCAGACAGCCCTTGCTACTCCTAAAGAAAGGGCAGGTACGCGGTCATGAAGGGACGCTTTCTCACCAATTCAGTTTCCTACTTTCTTAAGACGTCTTCACAGTAGATCCCTATGATTGCCTGCTGTCCTTCCAAATAACAAAATCAATCAAGATGACCTCTTTGGAATAAAAACCTACCCCGTGAACACAACCTTCAACGCAGACAGCCCTTACCTTTAACTGGCCTGCTGATTCCCTCCGATGACTCTGTTTTGACTGAATTAGTAAGGCACTTAATGAGGCTAAGAGCTGGCAGAAAGTGCTGTGCCGCGAACCACAAGGTCTGTGACTCAAACCCACCAGTCACTCCTCAGGAAAGAGGTGAGGCTGTCTGCTCCCATAAAGATTTATAAACTTCAGATACCCTAGGTAGGGTTTGTTATAAGTCAGAATGGACTGCAAGGTAGTGGGTCTGAGGAGGCCCAGACAGTCACTCCTGAGAGAACGTATCTGCAGCTACCCACTGAACACAGAGACAGGTCTAAATTCATTTGTTTGGAGTACACATTTGGGTGGATGAGCTGAAACCCCAGTAGCAATACTTTTTGGTTTACCCTCATATTTCTATCATAGCACCTATAATAGGCTCTTCCACAGATCTGCTTATCTTTTGTTTTCTACCATAGATTCCTTGATGGCAAAACCTATTTCTTATTTGTGTCAGTGCCTTAGCAATGGCTGGCACATAGTAGACAGATAGGGCAACAAATGCTGCTTCCTTTCTGAATCTATGAGTTTCCGAGAAGCTTTAGATTATACTTTCTATTTTACACATCAACTCTGGTGTTAAGGAGTGGGGGCGGGGTGATGATTTCAGATCATGAAATAAAGAGGGTCTAATCTATCCAATCTCAGAATAACCTAAAGATTACAGAGGGCCCTGAAGATTATCTTGTACACATGGTGTACAATGCCATGTATTGCCGTGACAAAGTAACTGTGCTTTCTGCTGTACACCAAGGCAGTCAATATAGACATTTTGAACCTGAACTCTTTGTTTGAGATAAGAAATGAGCCACTTAGCATTAGTACTTGATAATCAGTTCACACAAGAGTTGTACTTTCTGCTCGGTCTCAGATTCACTGTTCTGACAAAGGCAGTTTCTCAGCTCAAAGACAGGAAGAGCTGACAGGAAGGAAGAGGCCCTCTGTGTCTGCAGCCATGGACATGCTACAGAAGGAAAAGAGGCCCATGAGGGAGAAATAACTTCCCTGGGCCACACACTTAAGACTCCTAGCATCACTAGGGCTTTTTTTTTTTTTTTAAGTCATTTTATTGGGGGCTCATACAACTCATCACAATCCATACATACATCAATTGTATAACTCACATTTGTACATTTGTTACCCTCATTATTCTTTTTTTTTTAAATTATTTTATTGAGGGTTCGGATAATTCTTATCACAGTCCATATATACATCCATTGAGTCAAGCACATATGTACACCTGTTGCCCTCATCAATCTCACAACATTTGCCCTCTACTTTAGCCCTCAATATCGTTCGCTCATTTTCCCCCTCCCTCCCCCTCCCTCATGAATCGTTCATAATTCATAAATTATTATAGTTTTGTCATAAGTTACACTGTCCGACGTCTCCCTCCGCCCTCTTCTCTGCTGTCCATTCCCCAGGGAGGAGTCTATACTTAGATTCTTGTAAGTGGTTCTCCCCTTCTACCCCGCATTCCCTTCACCCTCCAGGCCTCGCCTCTCTCACCGCTGGTCCTGAAGGAGTCATCTATCCTGGATTCCCTGTGTTTCAAGTTGCCATCTGTACCAATGTACATCTTCTGGTCTAGCCAGATCACTGGGGCTTTTTTAAAAAGCTTTCCAACATCGAATCTGACACACTATCTGTGATAGGAGTCACTTCTGTATGAGTCTCTGATTAACACCTGTCTCCCTATGACCCTCTGAGAACAGAGACTGTGACAGGTATACAATGCCCCATAGACAAGTGGCTTAACACAGGCTGTTGCATGAATAAATCTCATACAATACTTTAAATTTTAATTAGCTGCATACACATTCCATTTTCTGAACATCTAAAACATTTCTGACTCAATCTAACTTGTCTGGTGACTCTAACTTCCCAGAAGACAAGGATCTAGTCGGTTTTATTTGCAAATAATATATTAGATAAAGTAATAAAGAAAAATTAAATAAATCAGGTGTTTGGGGGCAAGTGAGAGGAGTCACCAGAGGAGTAGTGGCTGGAAGAATTTTCTAATTCTCCAAATCATGTTATTATGTCTGTTGAAAGAAGTATGAGACTTCCCCCAAGAGAGCTGAACTAGATAAAATGACCTCTGTGGGCCCACAATCCCTCCCCGGTTCCTGGAGCCAGTTTCTGGACCCAAGCTATAGGTCACTGCCCACCATCGGACCAGCCCCTGCTGGATCCCACAGCCTCTGGACCAACGAGTTAGGAGAAAAATTTAGTGTGAAATCTAAGTCCCACAGGAACCTTGCCAGTCTTTACCACTGTCAGGACTCCCTTTGCAGCAGATTGGTCAGTGTGAGCAACAGGAACCCACCCAGGCTCTTGGACCTGGCCATCCAGAGTGTGTTGCAGGATGAGGCCTCAGCCATGGCTGCTCTGGAGTGGCTGCCCACGGTACTCTTCCCACCACTGTTCATGGTAACTGTGGTCGGTGGACACGAAGATGCAGTGAAGGCCATGGTGGTGTATTGGTTTTTTATCTGGCTCCCGCTAGGGGCTCTCCTAGAGTCTGGGCATTCTCACCAGGACATCTTAAAGGCAGCCTGGATGGTTTTGATATCCTGCTAGCCCACAAGGTTCCACCCAGGAAAAGCAAACTGAAAGTACTGGACTTAAGGCTGAACACTGACACCAACTTTTGGAAAGTGTGGTCTGGAACCCAATCGATTACCTCTGTGCCCTCATCAGAGGATCCAGTGACCACCCAGCCCAGGACTGTGATTCACAAAGGGAAGAATTCCAGAGCAGGAGAGGGGCCTCAGCCCTCAGCCTCCAAGGCATTGCTCACAGACCTGTGCTTTCCTGATACGATTACAGACGAATTGCTCACCTGCCTCAATGAAAGGGTGCCAGAAGAAACCAGCTCCTAGCACAATCATTACGGGTTCGGTAGGTGCAATTGTACAGCGATAATAAGTTAAGATTATAGTGAAGTCATAGAGAGCATGAGAGATAAGAGATATATAGAAATAAATGGAGTCAGACACACTTCATAGTAGCATTGCTCACCTCAGCCCCACTTGGTCCACGTGGAGAGAGAGGGCAGGGGAAGGAGGACTGGAAAGGGAACAAGGTTGAGAGGACGGGAGAGGTTGAGAGGACGGGAAAGGAGAGGGGGAAGAGAGGGGAGTGACCAGGAAGAGAGAGAGACTTTAATGCTTCCCAAGCTTTTATCCTCTGGGGACATGCCAGCCTCCTAATTACAGGTGAATACAC